TGATATATCCACTTATGTAGGACAATTTATACACAATTCTCTGACAAAACGAGAAAATGTTATACATTCCTGACGCAATATGATCAATACAGTTAGATTAGTATAATTAGTGTCTTTATACATGAAAGTAGATCGGCTTGTTAGAACAGTTAGAAGTGCCACCTCTTAGAACTGTTAGATATTGTTAGCATCACCAACTTTGTATGTATATCTTACCATACGTTGTACCCGTCACATCTGTTGTGCAATAAATAAAAGTTTTTTTTCTTAATATTTCTAAAAAAAGACCGGGCGCTAGGACACTCGCATCGGCTCACTTTGATAAATAAGAACTCTGGAACTTACCATGCTCAAATGTAGCAGAATTTTATAGATGGTTCCATTCGAATGGTTTTTAACCATTGATATTTTTGTAAATAATGTATAACATGTGTATATACCTTGAAATTGCATTGTATAGTTTTTTTTATGTTTAATGTATTATTCTTGATGTTGATGTACAATATTTGATGTTAATGTTGTTTATTACTGCAATTTAATAATGTAATCTGTTTTTATATTCTGTAAATTGTGTTTGGGAGGACAACTTGTAAAGGTGTCAATGCACCTGTTTTGTCCTCCCTTCCACTTGTATATCTTGTGGTGAATTCAAATAAACAAATAAACAAACAAATAAACAAATTCGTGTCACTACAGTTCCCGGCTCGTGTGTGACGCCGGCGGCGGAGATGGAGAGAGACCCGCTGGGTCACGTGGTGTCGGCGCACACCATCGCGGACATCATCCTGGACAAGACCACGGAGATGCCGCTGACGGTCGGGGTGTTTGGCGGGTTCGGGTCGGGCAAGTCCTCCTTCCACGCCGCTATCAAAAGTAAGGCCATGTTGATTTGATTATATGGATGACATCCTCCGGGAACCCCAAAATTGATGCGCGCGTGCGAATAAAAAAAAAGTTTTGCAAAAAAAAAAGTTGTTTTCATTATGAAATCTACGTGGTCATGAGGGTTGAACAAATGGCACAGAATATGGTTTGGCGAATAATCTAGTCTTCAAGTTCATTTCTTTACAATTTCGTCTTTTTTCGTTTGATTTTGGCATTCTACGACATTGGTATGGTTTTTTTGTAACTTACGGTATATTTTTGCTCATTTTGCAACTGTTTTGTACGATTTACAGTATGGTTGAAAACTTTTTTTTTGAAACGGCAGAAAATTCATGCGCGCGCGGATGCCATCCATATAATCAAATCAACATGGCCTAAGGTTCTTCTGGGGTATTTATCTGTATACGAGCCATCGCCATGACATCACTGTAGGCAAAAAGCGGCTGACGGTTGGTTGATTTGCCTACTAATAGTTTGCCTGTAGCTTTAAATAATTTGCATGTGTATGAAGTAAACAAAATCTACTCTCAAAGCAGAGGTTTGGGTTTCAGGTTATTAAAAATAACTAAAAACCCATACCTCTGCATCGAGAGTAAACAAAAACAGCGATCGCTCGTATGTATGTGGGTGTGCGTGTGCATGCGTGTATGTTTATGTAAGTGTGTGTGTGAGTGAGTGTGTGTGTATGTAAGTGTGTGTGTGTGTGTGTTTGTGTTTAGGTGTAAGTATTTAAGAGCAGCAGAGTAGCAGAGCAGAGTAGGGACAATTTGTAACCGCATACTGTTATTAAGATCAGTATGCCAGCGTAATTTGATTCTTTTTAGGCTGGCAGAAAATAAGTCTAGACACAGCAAGCTTTTTTCAAAGCTCCCAACCTGCAAGGTTTTGCCTAGAAGCAAATATAGCTATTGGACAGAAAAATACGGGGGTTAACAAACGTTACTAAATGCTTACAGAGGAAGTTCTGAAAAGGACGTCGGTTGTTCAACACTACAAAAAGAAGATAGACGAACGAGGGGTCATCAAGAAGGGGAACAAGAAGGAGGAGCCAAAGAACCTTCTGGATCGCATCGACTTCTACCTTATCCTGTTCTGCTACACAGCCATGGTTTGTTTGTTTGTTTGTTTGTTTACTTGGTCGATTGTATTTATTCAACCTCAAAAAATTTTCCTATTTGCTGGCGCAGACAACGTTTAAGGACTATTACATGTAGGCAACCGAAACCACAGATGAGCTCACTCTGTGACGACTTAACTTCCAATATAATGGTCTGGAGAAGGTCGGGAGGCCATGGTCTGGAGAAGGTCGGGAGGCCATGGTCTGGAGAAGGTCGGGGCACCATGGTATGGAGAAGGTCGGGGCACCATGGTATGGAGAAGGTCGGGGCACCATGGTCTGGAGAAGGTCGGGGCACCATGGTCTGGAGAAGGTCGGGAGGCCATGGTCTGGAGAAGGTTAGAAGGCTATGGTCGTGAGTATTATCATGATAAGACCGCTGTTCCCACCGGCCTTGTTTGCTTGTTTGTTTATTTTTGTTTACTGAATGTTCACCTCACCCAGCTCGTGCGGTTTCCGTCATTGGATGACCGATAACCCTTCCCCGGGATTGTGTGTTTGTGTTTATTTTTTGTTTACTTCCCACAGATCACGGCTACCATCATGAGCGGACTGATGTTCCCGCTGGCCTTCTACTACCTGCTCGCCGGCACGCTAACCGCCGTGTTCCCCATCGGGGTTTACTACCGGGAGTACGTGGGCCAGCTGGCCCGGTTGGTGGCTGCCCGCCTCCCGGCGCTCTTCGCCAGGTCCAGCCCGATGTACCACATCCTGCGCACCTACCTGGACATCCAGGTCAACCAGCTGGACAAGAAGCTGTTACAGGAGCCGCCGGAGACACGAACAGATGTAAGATTGTCCTCTATATTTTACCAAGAGGGTTGACTTGAATTCAACTTGTAATCTTACTCATAAGTTACACACTTTTAACTGGATATCAGCGTCAAGCCGCTAGACCAAAATCCGACGTACAGAAGTAGCAAGAAAGGAGAAAGGACGTAAGGTGTTCTTTTTTTTTTCCATCGTGAAAGGGTTGACATGGATTACTTTCTTTTTATTACCTGAAATCCTTGCATTGCCAAGTCGCTGGACCAGAAGCTGGTAACAGAGCGCCCAAAAGACGAACTGGTCTAGGACTGTTTTTTTTAATCCTTTAAAGGTTTACTTGACTTCAATTCGTTGCTGCTAAATATGAGTTATAGCCAGTAAGGCCGCAGCAAGTAAATTTTATTAATGCCTTCCTCTGCAGACTCTAAATATTATGCGATAGGGCGAAAAAAATAATGCGGGCTAAAAATTCAAGATTGAAAATGATACCTATATTGTGCCAAAGATTGTACTAATTACAACGTTCATCTCTTATTGAAACTATTTTGAAAAATAAAGTTTTTAATCATTCTAAACTTGATTTTGATTCAATGGGTACATCACATATGAAAAGCCATCATCATGAAAGGAATGAAATACTCGTTCATCACTGCATCAGAGTAAAAGACAAAACAATAAATATGAGCCTTGTCATGTCTCTTCTCTTTATATTTGTCTGTCACCCATGTCTTAGCAAGGCAAAAGACATCTTTGCCCATTTCGGCATGTTAACAGGAGGTGAAATGATCAGAGGGCAACGATTTTTTCCAAAATCAGACAAAAATCCATGCCCGCGCTGATATTATGTTAGTCATAAAATTACTTGTTGTGATCTTATCTTAGGGTTCGATTCACAATATACCTGACGGCAATTGTGCAGGATATATCTCTTCCATTGTTTCACGTAAACAGTGATTCACTTCCGTAAAGTAGCACTGAAGACAATGCATATGTGAGGACCCAAGAAAGCCCAAATAAAATGCGTTTTTCTTCAATTTCTCACTGCCGTTTTTGTATGTTGATTTCAGGTGATTTGGGTGGATTTTAACGCCTGGGTTTTTTCCGGCTGCAATGTATTGTGGGCCGGCATCGTCACCAGGCTGTGTGACGAAGTCGAGGCTCATATCGGGGCCAACAACGTTCGTTTGTTCCGCTCTATACAGGTGGGTCATCGACTTACAAGGCGTCTTACTCTGTACATATTTCTGACTTCACTGCTAATGTTTATATGTCTGTAGTTTTCATGTTGAATCTTCGCGACATTTCCAATTTCAAGTAGTGCATCAAGGCAATGGTGCATTAAACTAGTAGAAAATAGTGCATTATCAGAAGGGTTGCTGGTGGGTGTTTACCTTTTACTGACTTATGTGTAAGTCTTACAACTAGACTGCACAATAAATCATTTATTTTTAAATCATTTATTTTTAAATCATTTTTAAATCATTTATTTTTAAATCATTTATTTTTTTAATTATTTTTAAATCATTTATTTTTACTTAAAAGTCGCTGAAAGAGTTTAAACTGTCAAAGGTTTCAATTGCAAGAATCGGTGATTTGTAGCAGTGTATGTACTTGTAGTAGCGGTTTTCTGTGCACTTGGATATCTAGGTATGTCTTCGTCAATTTTAATGACGTACGATCTAACTGGCAGGCAAAGGCGGAAGCCTCGGCTGCCCAGCCGAACCAGCGGATCCTGTTTCCCCAATGGTTCCGTCTGCTTGCGACGCTGGTCGTTGGCGTCGGACTGGCGACTCTAGCCGCGGTGGGGATCAACCTGCAGGCGGTGGCGCAGGGCCAGTTCCCGCCCGGGGTGGTCGCGCTGGTCCCGCTGCTGGTGGGCTTGCTCGCCAAGGGGAAGAGCGCCGTGTCGTTCGGCAGGAGTATGGTGAAGTCCCAGTCCGATAACATCACCTCACTCATGGCGCAGCAGGGATTCGCAGAGCAGCTCGGATTCATGTCTGAGGTATGTTATTAAGAACCGTGGCTATCTATATAGATCTATTTGAATCTATGCCTTTTTGGTTAGGGGTAGCATCAGACATGTACGGTCTGTAAGCTGGATAGTCTCTATCATACCCAGGGCCGTGCCTATCCAGTTCTATGGCTGAATGGGGTTCGCTTAGGACCAGGCACTCTGAATAACCTCCGCGTATTCAAGGACGTAAATTTCCCCAAGACCGGTCCTGGATATCCAGAATCGTGTCTGAGCATGGTTCTGGATGAGGCATGGTTTCGGATAGGCGGAGGCTATTGAGAACCGTGTACGAACATTTTCCGGAAAACCATGGTGAGGGAATGGTTTTACTAGCTATATATAGCTAGCTGCCATGTTGGTGAAGTACGCAGATCCAAAATGGCAGGCGGCAATTTTATCAAACACTCTTTCAATTTCAGAAGCTCTTCTGCTTCAATGCATACATGAAACTCAAAAGCTTCACAGGCACATTACATTGCATCAAACGACTTGCCAAATTAAATTTTGCAGATCTAACTAGTGTCCACCAGGCCTTCCAATGGGAATACGGATCGTAGAATTCGACACAAAAGAGAGTAAAATTGTCCAAGGGAGTCCGGCCCCGTGGAGGTAGTTTCATTCCAACCGAACTGCGCGGCAAGTCAAACATACAAGGCGGCCAAACTCCCCTGGCAAATATTCTTCTATATATAGCCATCGTAGTTAGTCTGGGAGAGACTAAGATATAACTATATATCTATGTCTGTTATCTGACATATCTAATAGTAATATTGATGTAATAATTGATAAATAAGTAGATTGATTGATTAATTGATTAACAGGTAAAGAAGGAGATTCAGACGGTGAAGTCGCTGCTGGCGTACCTGGAGAGAACCACCAACATCCGGTACCGGATCGTGGTGGTGGTGGACGACCTGTCAGACTGTCAGGAGGACCGCGTGGTCGGCGTGCTCCAGGCGCTCAAGGTCCTCCTGTCAGATGAGGACGCCAACATCATCTCCATCCTCTGCGTCAATTCTGCACAGGTGAGTCACATCATGTACATCCTCTGTCACAGGTGAGTCACATCATCTCCATCCTCTGCGTCAATTCTGCACAGGTGAGTCACATCATCTCCATCCTCTGCGTCAATTCTGCACAGGTGAGTCACATCATCTCCATCCTCTGTCAGTCCTGCACAGGTGAGTCACATCATATCCATCCTCTGTCAGTCCTGCACAGGTGAGTCACATATCTCCATCTGTCAGTCCGCACAGGTGAGTCACATCATCTCCATCCTCTGTCAGTCCTGCACAGGTGAGTCACATCATCTCCATCCTCTGTCAGTCCTGGACAGGTGAGTCACAACATCTGCATCCTCTGTCAGACCTACACAGGTGAGTCACATCATCTCCATCCTCTGTCAGTCCTGCACGGGTGAGTCACACCATCTCCATTCTCCGTCCTGCACAGGTAAGTCATATCATCTGTTACCTCTATCGGTTCTGCACAGGTGAGTCACATCATCTCCATCATCTGTTGGCCCTGCACAGGTGAGTCACATCATCTCCATCCTCTGTCAGTCCTCCACAGGTGAGTCACATCATCTCCATCATCTGCGTTGACTCTCTAGGGGTAACAGCAAGACTGATTAGTTAAGTCTTTTGAAGAGGGCTATAAGCAGCCGAACGAAGTGAATACTTCATAAGCACACTTGTCTTACCCTCGTCAGGTAGTTAAATGTGTTGAGGGGAGTCTGAAGCAGCTGGAAGACTCCGACACCAGCGGGTACAAGTACCTGAACGAGATCGTGAACTTCGCGGTGTGTCTGCCGGAGCCCGGGGTCGTCGCCATGAAGGAGGTGCTGGCCAAGGCGACGCCTGGAGAAGTTGGACAGCAGCTGGCGACCCAGATGGCGGCGGAGAAAGCTGCAGCTGCCCCTGCAGAAGAAGCTGCAGGTCCTGACAACGTGTCTGTTGCTGCAGCACCTGCGGGTAATCATGTTTAGCAATTAAAAAAAAAAACTCTCAAGCTGATCAAATGATTCAATAGAGTACAATTGGTAATTATGTTTACTTTCACAGACATCTAATTGTTTTTGCTCCGTTTCCTCTTCCGTTCCAAACAAATAAGGTAAGTGAACTGTATATACGTATCAGACGGTTGTCACCAAGGTAATTGTTGTTGCATCACTACTCCGTACCAAAGTTGCAGGACAGACCTTCAGGGGGTGGTTACCATACATGGTGTTTGAATAAATCAGGTAGCAAGCTGGCAGGACGAGCGGGATGGCTGTCTTTTTACCTCTTTTTACCTTGGTTTGAGTCAAAACAAATAGAGCAATAGTTTGTTAGGCTAGTCCATGTTAAGGTAAACATGTGTATTTGCTTTGCAAATATTAACCTTTCTAGCTTATAACGTGTGTTCCTGAAATAAGGATTTGCAGGTAGCGTGCTTCATGGGCCCAGTTTGTCGTAATGACGTCAGACAACAGCTCGCTTCTCTTGCAAAACACGAAAAAGAAAAACTCATGGCAATGAACATTAACAGAGGCAATGCTATGTTTTTATTTGACAAAGAAAAGGTCTAAATATAGACACAGAACTAGCTTTTCACATCATCTATCGTAGCCGGCCATAACGGTGCCAATCTAGTTCTATGAAGCGGATAGGGATAAGAGTAGACACAATGCTGGATAGCCCGCCTGTACCAATAGCGTATATTTGCCCCATCCGGCACCCTTCCTTGGCATACTACAGTACTTGGTAAATTATTTACTTCCAGACACCATTGGCGTGCCTGTTTTGTTTTTTCTTTGTTAAAATCAACTGTGCCCAGTAAACTGCCTATTTTTTATTTCCTTCAAAAGAAAAAAGGCATTCGTTTAACTGTATTTTTCTATCACACATCAGCCATGTCCACGCTGCTATAATTAAGTTCCGTGAGCTTGTCCACTTTTCGCCGACCGCTATAATTTCCAACCGCATTTTTTTTTTATTCAAAAGAAAAAAAGGCCTGTGTTTCAATGTATTTTTTATCACACATCAGCCATGTCCACACCGCTATAATTTCCAACCGCATTTTTTTTATTCAAAAGAAAAAAAGGCCTGTGTTTTAATGTATTTTTTATCACACATCAGCCATGTCCACACCGCTATAATTTCCAACCGCATTTTTTTGATTCAAAAGAAAAAAAAAAGCATGTGTTTTAATGTATCTTTTTATCACACATCGGCGATGTCCACACCGCTATAATTAAGTTCCGTGAGCTTGTCCATTTTTCGCCGACCGTCATAATTGCGAACTGCATTTTTAAATGGATTTACGATAGTTCTAGATAACAGATGGTTCTGGATGCGTTACGCCTCTGTTTCTGCAGCCGAAGGAGAAGCAGCAAATGTCTTGCCGCTGCTGCTGGATGCACTGAAGAACGGTGACGTCATGCCTTACATCAAAGGCAACCCGCGCTACATCCGGGACCTGTACTTCGTTCTGCGCATGACGGCCGGCGTGGTGGAGTACCAAATGAAGCTGGGCGAATTTGATACTGAGGTGGGCATCTCTGTGTCGTTTTGAGTTGGTGTTAGATTAGCGTGGGTGTTCAGAGACAAAATAATCTCTGGATGTATGTGTCTACCCAGGACTGGTTTGTGCTGGTACAACAGTGGCCGTACCATGTCAGGGTTATAAAGGTCTAGGGTTCTGGTTGTGGCTAGTGTACAGGGCTAAGACAGCGCCTTGTCTGTGTGTCTGTTCAGGACTGGGACAAGCTGGTAGCCTGGGTAGTGCTGGTACAACAGTGGCCGTACCAAGTCAGGGTTATATAGGGTTAGGGTTCTGGCTGTGGCTAGTGTACAGGTCTGATACGGTGCCTTGTCTGTGTGTCTGATCAGGACTGGGACAAAGTGGTGGCCTGGGTAGTGCTGGTACAACAGTGGCCGTACCAAGTCAGGGTTATATAGTGTTAGTGTTAAAGGGTCAGGGTTCTGGTTGTGGCTAGTGTACGGGGCTAAGACAGCGCCTTGTCTGTGTGTCTGTTCAGGACTAGGACACGCTGGTAGCCTGGGTAGTGCCGGTGTTCTATGCAGGAATGCCCTATGCAGAAATGCCCTATGCAGGAATGCCCTATGCAGAAATGCCCTATGCAGGAATGCCCTATGCGAGAAAACGTCCTATGCAGAAATGCCCTATGCAGAACTGCACCATGCAGAAATGCCCTATGCAGGAATGCCCTATGCAGAAATGCCCTATGCAGAACTGCCCTATGCAGGAATGTCACATGCAGAACTGCACTATGCAGAAATGCACCATGCAGAAATGCCCTATGCAGGAATGTCCTATGCAGAAATGCCCTATGCAGGAATGCCCTATGCAGAAATGCCCTATGCAGAAATGTCCCATGCAGGAATGCCCTATGCAGGAATGCCCCATGCAGAAATGTCCCATGCAGAAATGTCCTATGCAGAAATGTCCTATGCAGAAATGTCCCATGCAGGAATGCCCTATGCAGGAATGCCCCATGCAGAAATGTCCTATGCAGAAATGGCCTATGCAGGAATGCCCTATGAAGGAATGCCCTATGCAGGAATGCCCTATGCAGGAATGCCCTATGCAGAAATGCCCTATGCAGGAATGCCCCATGCAGAAATGCCCTATGCAGGAATGCCCTATGCAGGAATGCCCTATGCAGGAATGGCCCTATGCAGGAATGCCCTATGCAGAAATGCCCTATGCAGAAATGTCCCATGCAGAAATGCCCTATGCAGGAATGCCCTATGCAGAAATGCCCTATGCAGGAATGTCCCATGCAGAAATGCCCTATGCAGGAATGCCCTATGCAGGAATGCCCTATGCAGAAATGCCCTATGCAGGAATGTCCCATGTAGAACTGCCCTATGCAGGAATGCCCCATGCAGGAATGTCCTATGCAGAAATGCCCTATGCAGGAATGCCCTATGCAGGAATGCCCTATGCAGGAATGCCCTATGCAGAAATGTCCTATGCAGAAATGTCCCATGAAGAACTGCCCTATGCAGAAATGCCCTATGCGAGAAAATGTCCTATGCAGAAATGCCCTATGCAGAACTGCACCATGCAGAAATGCCCTATGCAGGAATGCCCTATGCAGAAATGTCCTATGCAGAACTGTCCTATGCAGAACTGCCCTATGCAGAAATGCCCCATGCGAGAAAATGCCCCATGCAGAACTGCCCCACCGATGCAGAAGTGTCCCCCGTAATAAAATAGATGATTGTTACTTCAATTTTTTGTCATCACTGGTATAATCTTTGTAGTTTGTTTCCACCTAAACGTTTGAATTGTCTTTTTGACCTTTCGTCCTTATGGGCCACCGTACTTTTTGAGCCCCGGCCACTTCCGGTGTCAGTTTTCCAAATACCGGGGCAACCAGCTGGAGATTGACAGTAGGGCATTTCTGCATGGTAGGGCAGTCCTGCATAGAACACCGGTACAACAGTGGCCGTACAGGTCCAGCTGGATCGTCCTTCACGCTGAAGACCTCGAGCTAAAGGCGGTCATGAAAAAACGGGAGAAGCTGAGCGGCTGCGTCGAACAAGGACCGTAAGACAGCATACTCCTTATAACTCTCCTTATATAGTTACGGACTCTGACGCAATCAGTCACGTGGTTATGACGAAATCAGCCGTCATCAGCACGTCGGCAGAACGTACTTTGCCTGCGCATAACCCTGTTTTTTTGTTTGGTCACCGTTGCATTAGAATTTTGCCTGTTGCAGACGATATCTTTTCCGACATAACATTTGGAAACTATAGACGGGATTGTAACCTTATATGCACAAATACAACCTTATATGGGGCGTTTTCCATATGAGTGCTATGCACAATACATTACGGATTACGCGCAGACGCAGTACGTTCTGCCGACGTGCTACCGTCAGCCGTGTTGGTGGTTTAACGATGCATGTAGGAAATCTAGATAACAATTTCTTTCAGCATTAAAACGAACGATTTTCGCTTATGTACCGAGATGACAGTGTATAAAACGTTCCTGACCTAAACTCGCGTCTTTCTTTATTTACCGAATCACACTCGCCATCTTGGAGCCTGCCACCCTCCAACATGGCGGCGGCTATTCAAAGGTTATAACGTAACGTGCATATGTCATATTTTGGAACACTTTTTCGTACCTAGAGGCTACCAAACTTGAAGCGATGAATTACAACTTGTGTTACATGTTCGTACATGTTTCAAGCACATGATACTTCTCTCACACAGGTAAAATTGAACATTGTTACGAAAATGATCAGTGTTTTTATTTAACCATAGAGACGACTACATGGACAAGAAACTCCTCGCCATCTTTAAGTCCGCACAGGAGAAGCAGAAGGAGCTGGAGAAGAAGGGAGAAGCCTTAAAGAGGTTGAACTCCTTGGATGGAGACACTGAACTCCTTGAACTGTTCCTTCAGGAGTTCGACTTTAGTGTGCAGGTATGAACTCTACTGTACGAAAATATTAAACGACGTCGTGCAAAAAGTAAAAAAAAAACTATTGTTTTTGCCCCAAATTTCATCAGTGCCAAACATATTTCAATGACCTGGACTAGACGGCTGTCACCAAGGTAACTCAAGTTGTAGTGAAATAACTTACATTACATATCAAGAGACATAACAGAGTTGTGGGGGCCTGTCACCATATGCATGAATGTGTTTGGCTAAGCATAAACAGAACAGTAATTTGCATGATAGACCGCGTGCTTTGCAAATATTACAGTTCTAGTTAAATTCTATTTATTTTCTGGTTTTAGGACATGTTCGACCTCCTCCCCGTCACGACAAACTTGGACTCTTCCATCAAGATGGCGATCAACTCTGCGATTGGCCAAGCGTAACGATGGGAGCAGCGAACTAGTGGTGGTGGCAACCTGAAACCCATACCTATGAGCGGGAGGGAGAATCTAGTGCCGATGCGGTCGACATGTCCCCAGCTTAAGGCACTGAGACACTATAGCACTGAAGCAATGAATCATGCGCACTATTAAGTGATGATATATTTTATGTTCATGCAAACAATCCGACCGGCCACGGTTTATAAGTGTCGATCCTAGCATGACGTACGTGCGGGGGTAATTTTAACTGTACTTTGCAAGGCAGCCATTAGGTGGCGCTACTGTGTAGTCTTTTGACCAGTTTTAAACTTTGCCCTCCCTTTAAAAGTGCTGTGGTTCGGACAGGGTTTACATTTTCTTCCTTTCTGCTGGGGCCGTTGTATTTTAGAGTTCTGAAGGTTCGGAGTTTGGTAAATTGTATTATTTCTTTCTTACTCTCGAAGATGACGTTGAAGCTTCAACGTATTTTTGACGTGTTTAATGAGTTTCACGGGGCTTTTATTTTTGTACTAGTTTTGTTTTTTTCGACAGTCTATGGTGTCGCATCGGATACTACCCTGCTGATTTGATACTGCTTCGCCAGTTTGATACTGTATTACTGCTGCCAATTTGATACTGTGTTGATACTGACTTGCTAGTTTGATACTGGCTTGAAGACACCAAAATATATGCTCGGAGATAAGGTCTTACTGTTTGATAGTGATAGGTTTTTTTTTTTGGGGGGGGGGTGATATGACGCCACTAAAAACATTAAAACTGTGATATTAATTGATAAGTTTATTTCAAATTATGGCCGAAGGCACTGTAAATAAAAACGATTAAAGAACACTGAAATAAAGTACAAAAAAATTCAAAAGCTACATAATAAAAACTGATTGTCAAAAATTATAGCTGTGTCTAAAACAGGTCTGTAGGGTTTGACTTCTTTTTTGGAAACCATTGAATACGTAACGTAACGTCCCACCCTTTCAAAATGTGTGGGTTTTGGGAAGTTCAAATTAAGATAGTTTTTCTTTGTCTGTAAGTTTAGAAAATTGGGATAAATTTTACAAGTATCTAATTTATAGACAGCTCATTTCGAACGTTGTTATAAAGCGAATAATTTGAGATAAATGCTTGAGATAAATTGTTTTTTTTTTCATCTTCTACAACTTTTGCACTAAAATTCTTTCAAATTCTTTTACATACAGGTAATCGACTATACCGGTCTCTCTCTATTTCCAGAGGATTGCGCAAGTGGTTGAGCGAAGGTAGAAATCTGCTATATCAGGATATCATTCCATGTTATACATGGTTTTACATTTGCGTAAAATCTTGAATTACCATTATCAAAAAAGTATAAATTATTCATATCTATAAGTCTTCTTCTCAGCACTTCTCCAACATGTTCAGGGTCACAGTGCAAGTTAATGTATGTCTCAAAAAGAATGTCCATTGCGATCTAATACACGTTGCAATAAAGTTAGTCTACAGGTATTTGTCGGAAGGCTTTGCTGTAAGAGAAGTGCGTCCAACACCCTTCTTTCACAGGCGGGAGGCTATAACTAACAAAACCCACAACTCAGCTACTAGAAAATTCGTGTACATGTGCATAAAATGATACAACAACAATTAACCACAACGCATCATATCATCTGCACCACCAGCGTTCGAACAAACACCAATGACAGCCTGCAAATAGACATGCACAGAAACAGAACCTTACAATCAATCCGTCCAGTTTCATGAGCTTTAGTTCGCTCAAGAATAGTCTGGCACCCGTTCCCATTAAAGTATTTGACCCTTACATCCTGTTTTATTTTGGGTACTAAATACCTATCACAGGCGGCGAAACAGTGCACTGTTTTAACATGAATCTAAAGATACTAGTAGCTGTAAGTGCCGGAGTTAGTACATAAACTACACGTAGCTCAGCACAACATTGCCTCCTCGTGACCACTGTTCATACTACTGCAGCGAGTCATGTACCACAGTTAAAAAATAGAATGCCACTCATAACACATCCCGTATTATTTTGAGTAACACATTTCTGACATTGTTATGACACAAATCAAGTTAATGTCGATTCAATTTCATTCAAATGAATGTTTAAAATATTTCAACTCAAATTCATACAGTTTCTTTACATTGGTTGTACGTGCTTAAAAAAACCCTATGGCTTTCTATATCGTTTCTTAGCTAACGATGAAAGCTAGCTGTTGGTGCAGGTTGGGATGCATGGTAAGGTAACGTAAAACATGTAGCTCAGTACAGCACTGCCTCCTAGTGACTACTATATAAATTGCAGCACGACACGGAGTACTGTTAATTATCACCCATGACCCGCGTTACGCTGCGCTGAGCAGAGTATTTACATGCCCTTGAAAACTCCACCCCCTTCAGTATTCCCTCTCAAGCTTTTCACTGATAGGCGCTTGCACTTAATACCTGCTGTTAATGTTAGTCAAACTGATATACCGTATTCAATGATACATTTAAGAATTCTATAGCTTAGCTCACAAGCTTCAGTTTTAGCATAGAAAAAAAGCCTCTCTGAAACATTACAGTGAATCATTGCTATAGAAGGGAACGCATGACCTCGAGAAAAAAAAAAAACCCAAGCATTCCTCGTACTAAAGCTTCATACTGACAGGCCCTGGTTCTTGTTGAACCTTGAAATCAGAATATGCCAACTCGATAAGACTGCATCATGTTTTTTTTTTATTTTACCAGCCCTAAACTAAGACTCTGTGAACATGTACCTTTTGTTTAATTATATGTAAGGGTACACTATAAACGGTTGGCCAGTGGCTTGTGTCTGGCTGATCAAACTGAAGGGTTAACTCGGGGTCAGGGTCAAATGTAGGCGGTGCAAAAGAGCCCCCTACATTAGAACTGCAGTTGCGCCTGTCTCATGACAATAGGATAGTAATGTAGCCTGGCGACATTACACTAACAATTTAATGCTTAAGTTACCTGAACTATTTCAATCATCTTATCTGACCTCCAAATAAACACCTTATGATCTGTTGCACGGATATGCTGATATAGAAAAGTGGTCAAACAGTTCCAACCCCAAAAAAATTAGACGTAAAGAGATCTTCAAAAATATAGTATCCCCTATCACATTGCCCATATAATGAAAAGATAATGTTATTTTTCTAGCTACAACTACTTAATATGAGATACATACTAGAATGAGGAAATTTCTTCTGTTACCAACTTAATCTTCATACTAGGTTTTCCCCTAGTTGAGGAAATAAATTCTGTCGAGTCGACACCCGTTATGTTCCAAGAAAGCAAAACTGTTCTCAAAAACATTACCTTTTTTTCAACTGGTTCATGTAGAAAGCATATCCATGGAAGATGGTTTGTAAAGGAAGTGAAACAAGAGATGTTCCTCTTTGTGGTTGAATCAACTTAGCAAAATAACCATAGACTTCTGTTTATTGTGACATTCAGGAAAAAAGAGAACTATAAAACAGGATTGTTTCCTTCCTTGAAAGAGAGATATTGTAAGTCTGGGTCTGAAATATAATTGACTTCATAATATGATAACATTAAATAGATATTGACATTTAGGGATTTTTGCTGTCCTTCAAAAAACACAGTCTCTCTTAAAAAAAATACAAGGCACTTTGTGAGTCTAGTATTTGGTACCTCTAATACCATTTCACATCTAAATTCATCAAATATGGCTTTTTAAACCGTTCAAGTCAAATTACACCTTGGACATGAACATCAGAGGTTTTCCTGCTTGACAACTGTTAAACTTAAAATAACCTGTCTGTTAAATCTTGATCTGTAAAACAGGAATTTAGTATTGAACCACATATTTTATATGTGACCATATATCACATGCCCCATGTAGATCTAATAAATTTCATTTTACTCTGGTTGGCACCTATGTACATCACTACAGTCATATATAATATATACTTACAGGTACATGTCTATAGACTATCTCAGATTGTCTTATTTTCCTGCATAAGCTAGGTAATACTATGTATATATGCATTGAGTATGCGTTGTTTTGCTATGGAAAGGGTAGTGTTGCATAATATATAGTAAATTTAACGCGTACTATAGTTAACTGCAGAGTATACAGATTGTGTGTGACGATTATTGGGAATATTGGTTCCACACTGTGCATGTATGTATTAGTCCCACTGAACATTTCGAGGTTTTTGCTGGCGCAAATGTATGTCATTTTCATCTTATACATTAAGCACTACACTGCCTTTACATTTCGCATTCTTATGTGTACCCTCAAAAACATGTGTATTTTGTATAAAGCTATACCCATGTGTGTAATTCACTACTAGTCATTTTTACAACTAAAGTTCACCATACTACATAAAATATGTAGCCATGCTATACAGTAGACAGACGAATTCACCATTTGCATTCCAGCAGAAAACGCTGCACTTCCGGTTCCATAATGGCTACAGCACCTTACATCCCCACTTTTTTCAGCTATTATTGCACTGTTAATTTGATGTCTTTTTGACGTCCTTTAAGGACGAACTACATGAAAATTTGACAATCATAACCTTAAGCTTTATGTGGCATTGGCACAGCATAAAACAAAGATAACCATGTTCCCATTATGGCTCTGTATTTAATGGCGGCCTCCCTTATAACTACTTATGTGCCCATCACCCACCCCAAACCTGGCCCCTCGAGTCACAAAAAGGGCACGGTTTTTCGAGTGAATTATTGTTGCATTTTGTTTTCCACCAGACATTGTGCCAGAGAAAGGTGACACTCTGTAAAAACACCATGTCAGTCCTTATAAGGTGCTGCCAGGGGCTGAATATAGCAAGATACAGGTTGTTTTTTTTTTTACTGTGTCATTATTAGTAGGGACACCACTTGCTTGTTTCACTTTGAAATGGACAAAAAACACGTAGATAGCCAGGTTTGACTAAAAAGAAGAAAAGCTGCACCATATCAAACTAGGATCTCATCATGTGATGAAAAAAGGCCCAGATTCTCTAGCCTATAACAATTATGTGAAAGAAGCTAATCCTTGTGAGATGGTGTCTCAATAAAGCAGGCTACAGGGAAGTACTGACCTGGCTTGTTTGTTTCTTGTGACTAATTTTCTAGCGGCTGAAGTGTAATTGAAAGAAACATAAACATGGTGACGTTGACTTTAAGACAGATCTGGTAGAGAAAATTATTTTCAAGTCCCCAATATGGTAGCACAGTAGAGTAGGTTGGAATGTATTTTGGAATATAAATAAAAAGACAGATCTTCCACAAGAGTGACTAGAATACATGTAATTATACCAAAGCATTAAACATATCACAAACTTATGGATAACCTAATGGTGAAAATTCTATACACGAAAATATCATTTTTGATGAACTGAATTTGTGCTATTAATAACTTACACCTTTGTACCTGACATGCAGCAGAGACTGTGTAAACGTTCCAATGTCGATAGCTAAATCTCCCAACCTCTCTAGTTGGTTACCTCCTAAAGGTGGAAGCCTACATGGCAGAGAACTGCGATCAAAGCAGAACTTCCCGCAGTTTAGCTAAATAACGTCTAGGTTTTACTCTATTGTCAAGTTGCTGAGCCATTTTTTAATAAATCTTAATGTATACCATTCCCCGATTCAGCCATGTAAGGCTGTAATGGTATTTGCGTTGTATATAGTAGATGAAGAAACCAGTTCAGATAGATGTGGTTCTACATTCAACAGAACATATCATAAGGTAAAGCAAATTGAACTTTTACAGTCGTAGTTTCATCTTTTAAACATGCTTGTACTGTGTATTTTGGTATCTTTTCTTCCTATTAAAATGCCACGTACTTGCAATGGAAAAGGGTTGGACTTGTTTGGAAAGACATCTCTCCGATTCTACGTAATACAGCTTAAAAATTTAGAACAACCATTGGCAAGTAAATAGACAGCAGGTGTGACTTTTGTGACGAAACTCCACATACCTTATCTCAAGTCCTGACCTAAACTAGTATGTAATCATGTAGAATCAACTACATTCTCTAACCAGGGAAAATACCTTTAAAGAATGTCTCTATCTTAAGATAATAACCCAATAAACCAGGTTACAGACCTGTCTTTCTGTTCACCTTTTTTTTTTCATTTCCCTCTCGATCTGATCTACTGAACTAAGCTGATCACCTTTTTATATAATAAAAATACCTCTATTAAACTTTTATGCTTTAACACACAGATCATTGTGATGCAATAGTTCTTACTGCCATTATAGTAATACAAAACTGCTATCAAACTTAATTTACATGGTCTAATGTAAAATTATTTACATGTTCAACCCCTTCAAGCTTTACAAGACAGTTGTAATTTTGTAAACAGATGATGCATATAGTGCATATTTTATCTAATGGCAGAATATCTATATTGTATATCTTTGCTATTTAAATAACAATACCCAAGACACTTACATTGTATACAATTGAATAAAAAATCCTCTCGTCGCATCAAAGGCAAATCAAGTCCACACTCGTCTTCTATCTTTATATGCTTCTGTAACATGTTTTATGTAATCTTGTATTGTATATCTTTTGCTTTTCAAATAACAAAACCAAAGACACTTATATTGTATACAACTGAATAAAAAAATTGTCGTATCAAAGGCAAGTGAGTTCCACACTAGTCTTCTATATTTATATGCTTCTGTATCATAATTGCATTCACATACTACATTAACTATAAAGGGCATTTGCGCGCAAGGAAATAAAACATATTTAATTTCATCTCCTCTTTCAAACATACCTTGTACAAAAAGTTTCAAAAAATAACATCTCCCCAAAAGTAAGCTACAGTATTACCATGTTACTGTAGTGTGAAAAAGAGTCTACCCTACTCGACCTCAATCAATATTGTTCAATCACGGAATCTCTCATGTAAAATGGACCAGCCTGAAACGCGAAAACTAACGCAAAAATGGGATTTGGAAAATTTACCCCTTTAAATATGGACTCTAGGCGGCTCCCCATTATGGTATGAACCAATTAGTATGGAAACACTTCTACAGAAAAGCTGGACTTTTTTTATGATGATCTAGATGTAGGATGCCTTTTACTAAGTTGGTTTCTTCTACTAGCTTTAATGACTTGTCCACCCCCAACCTAATATGGAAAATTCAAAGTTAAATTTTAAAACCACTACCCCTTTTACTTGAGAATAGATCATTACATCGCCAGTGTACCCCATTTAGCAAGATAGACCAGTTTGAAAGATTTCAAGAAAAAATATCGACTTTATAATAATGGAATGTTCCAGTGACCGGCATGTTGATTTACATGGATCAGATTATTAAAATAAATGTACAGTAAAAATACTTTTTTTATAATCACCCTAGTCTAAAATTGAATTTCTTCTGATCTTTTCTCGAAAAATGGCAACAAAACACGAAGGCAAACCAAACAAAAAAATCTTAATCCTGTGTAAAAAAAATGTAAGTATTTTCTTGCAATTCCTTTTTTTATAAAAAAAAATATCTGGGGAATTTGCTCACTTGTACTCCATATCTTGTCGAAAAGCGGCCAATCGTCCAAACAAGTATTAAATCAAGAAAAAGGAAGGAATTCATTCATACATACTAAATTTCAGATAAGTTAGGGGGGGGGGATCATGAACTCGATTTTTAAAAGGGTATAGGAGGAAACATGAGAAACTATATATGCCACCCATACTTGCCGTATAGAGTGAACTATAATGAAACGCTAACTTTTAATCTCAATGCACATCGAGGAGAACTGTGAGGGGAAAGGATCAGTAGATGGAAAACCCTGACAGGGAGATGACCACAAGTCTTCTTGGTCATCACCAAACTGTGCAAAAAAGGACTGTGAGTGAAACGGATCTTCTTGCTGATCGGTGAAGTCGAGGAATACTTCAGAAGGCGGCTTGAAGTATTCTGCCATTTCTGCATACATTTGGCTGGCCCTTTCACGGTCGGCTTCCAACTTGACAGGATCATGACCTGTGGATAAGAGATTGATGGGTATTTATTACTCCAGCAAAAATGCACAAACATAAAGGACTCTCTCTATCCGTTTCTAAGGTAAACGTTCTGTTAAAATAACAAGAGAGAAGATATTTTTTTCTGGGAGAAAACAGCAGACAATACAAATTGCTGCAAAAGGAACTAAAACAATTAGCCGTAAATGCTACACTGTCATTAGAAGATATCAACTAATGTTGTAAGAAAACAGCACACCTGTTTTAACATCGTTGTATTTGTCTTCGTTCTTTGCCCTGTGATTGTTAGAAGGCAGTACTAGTGTGTGTTTATTCATCTGTGTGTGTATGTATGTGTGTGTATGTGAGGGCATATATGGGGGAGGGCATATATATTTTTAATGAAAATGCTTCAAGCGACCACATCACAAAGTATCATGCAACCTTACCAATAAAGGTCCATTTGCTGTCTTCAGGAACATCCGCTGTTTTCTGTTAAGCAAAAAACAAATATCTGTAAATTCAAATAAAGTGTTAAATTAGTGTCGATGTTTTTAACAATTAGCACACAGAAGGTTCATACCTTTAACATTATGACATCCTTAAAACGCAAGATATTCCACAGATAAAATTAATGGCTTGAAACAGTCAGTTAGCCTTTAGTACACTGCTTCTTACTATGTAAATATTCATGATAACATCAACGGATATTTTGCAGGGAAACTATGTTTCATTATTAGTCATTTTGATTTGATTATATGACAGATACCCGATCGCGCATGGATTTTCGTCCTTTTCCCCAAAAAGCTTTTGACCATACTGTAAATCGTACAAAGAAACTGCAAGTTGAGAAAACATATGCCATGAATTGAAAAATTAAAAAAAAAAGGTTGAAAACAATACTAATGTTTAAGAATAGTCACCTTTGCTAAGAGCAAAAATACCTCCACAGGTCCAATTCCACCTGCACTAGCATGTACATTCAGCTTTTTTCAACCCGTACTCGAATAATCTAGAAAAAATTCTAGTACTTACACATTCTTCAAAAGTTCCAGCAGCACAGGGCAAGCTCCTCACATCGTTTGGTCGTGCTAAGTAGTAGTCGAAAAATGTCGGGTTATATGGACAGCCATGGTTTGCAAAGTCCGAGAGATTGTTCGCCACGTTATAAACTATCTCATCTTCGTCCATGTAAACCTTCCCACTTTGTGACCCTACCATTACTACAGCATCGTCCTCGATGTACCCGATAACTACCAGTTTCTCTGGTGGGTTGACGTATTCAAAGCCACATTCCCACACCCTGAAACGCTCCATGTCACTTGAGCCTCCTTCACAAGGGGTGAGTGTCTCTCCCTTTATACCGTATGGGACGGAGGTACTGTCGTATTCTTCGAAGAAGTCTTTCATCTTCTTGGGGTTTCTGTAGGCCAAACTTACTAACTCCTTCTTGAGTTTGGCCTCCTTACTTTCGATGGGCAGGATATGCTTCGCTAGTTCTGTCTGGTGAAGGATGTGGTCGTTCCACAGGGCAGTCTGTAGGCCAATGTCATACGTTATGGGTGCATTTTCACACATCTGGTGAATCAGCGTATCGAAAACGTCGTCATCCAAAAGACGCCCAAGCTGTAGTTTTCGACCGAATTCCAAGAAAATGTCCCGGTTGCTACAAAATATTTTGTTGCTGTCGGTTTTAGTCAGCGTCTGGTTGTCTCTACTCTTCAGGAGAATTCGAACAAGCTTGTTAGAGACGGGATTCGTCAAGACATCCACTTCAAAAGTCGACTTCGTACCTTGAATCACCCCGATCCGGTTGACAAGCAGACTGTACATGGGTACTAGAGCGCGTGGTAACAGCGCCATCGCCATTTTCACTTGTACCGGGCTGGTGTTGCTACGACGACAAACTACGGGACTCCTTTTCCCTGACAGGGATGGCTGTTTTGCCCGATTAAAACTCTTCAAAGCTTTTGGAATAAAAAGGTTTGAAGAGTTCTAATGGCGATACCTATTCCGTTCCTAAGACTGTGTGGACACGGCAGGAAACGGCTGTCTTCTTTTGGGGTACAAATATGGCGACCGACAAACAGGTTTTATCCAGTCACCGCCACGTCAGGTGATATATGGCTAGGTCATGTGATGTTGATCGGCCGCGTCCCTTGTTCCCATGATGCATTAGCTGAGATAATTACGAACAGAAAAACCCAGCAACATTGACCCTATATTTTTAATTTATGATGTATCGCCTACGTGTGGAACCAACTTTTTTTCCATGTTGTCATCCCTAGTGTAATTCCATCATATTCATAGTGTAGTTCATCTCAATTTTATGCTCTTTCAGAAGCAATCTCTACTGAAATACCTTAGCCCTAATCATTATTAGGATACCGATTACAATCCTGATTTTCTATTATCTTTAACTTATTACCAGACTCTAGCGAGACTGATTACTGTACGATGTATCATATTTATATATGTTCCCTGTTAGATTGATTTACTTATATATAAATGTCCTAAATCGGTGTTGGAACTTCAAAGCTGACCTTTAGTCGGCCAACAGTACATAACAGTAATGAGAATGAACAGCTTGATCATTAGCATGGAATCATTGTAAACACCCAAAACAATCCCGTAATGCCTTAAACAATTTAGAGTAAATAATCATAAAGTGACCACACTAGTGAGACAACAGATTTTGATTTAAAACAACAACTCCAGAGTAATAGTATAATACACTGGATCGTTGTGAGTAACCACAATGAAAGGCTAAAAATATGTCTGGCCCACGTGGGCAGGCTTGGCAGTGCGTGACTTTCGTCCAATCCTGGACTCGAACGACTTTCACCGAAACTGACTCATCAGCTTAAATGTGACGGAAGTAACCTCAATGTAACGCCAGGTAGAAGTCCATAAGAATTCTGAGGTGCTACAGAAGAACTCACTCTGAGTAACGCTCCCCATGGCTCAACATGCACAACGGGTAGCGTTTATAGAGAAACAGTTAGACGTTTTCATGGAAGTATATACGAAGGAAGTTATTACGAAGTTGAAGCAGATTGTTGTTCAGCCACAACAATTTTTACAGCAACTGAACGCAAATGTAAGTATCACCACGTGGCATTCATTTTAAATTCTCTCATGTGCACACGAAGCAAATTTCTTCTTCATGATGCAGTATACAGATAGCTCCTGAGTATCTGGCACTAAATTCTAAATTAAAAGGTAAACATACTGGTAAAATGGGGCGACGCGATTTAATGTAAAACTTTGTCATTTTCATATCTTTGTTTCAAACTCATAAATGATGTAGTATACGTCATCAATCCCCTTTTTTCTTTATTGTATACAATACCAACAATATCGTGATTATCATCATCGTTGTAAATGTGAAATTGTCGTTGTAATAGTCTCAGAATTTCTTATTTTTGTGTGTTTGTGGATAGAAAGTAAGTAATAACTGCTTGCTTGCTTTAAGAGCTTTGATATTAAACTGTCCTGAAGTGCAAAGTAATCAGGTTTCATAAGCCAGCTAACATAGACTTCCAGTATATATTCTTGTTTTTAGATTTTAGATCACGTGCTTTTGGGAAGACAGGGTTATACTGCAATGTAAAGATTATATCTGCATTTGATTTGCATTGAAATGATGAAATAAAAAAAAGTGTGCATAACAGTGAATTTTATTTTTTCCACTCAGGTTATGTTACTAAGGACTTTCCAAATCAATACCTTTTTCAACAACTAATTCTAATGCAGTCTGCTGTGATTGTTATATTTTCGGAGTCATGTTTTCCGTTAGTTCATTTCATTTTGTTTTTTAACAGGTTAACATATAAGCTATCGATGGTTTCTACAATATTCTATGTATGGAATCCAATGTTTTAGGTCTTGGCCCCTTGAACTGTAGCATTATACATGTAGCAAATCATGACCCTGTTTGCCAAAACACATGCAAGAAAAATGATATTGCTTCTTTGTTCAGTCGAAAAAATATATAATTTAGGGGTAAAGAAGCCCAGGTCATGAGTTCAAATCTGTTATGATATCGATGTACATGCACTTGTCGCAATTTACAACATCTAATTTGCAATGATATCTTATTGATAATAGAACATGCAAATTTAAAATTTGCGATTTTTATCAAGTGCTATATTGTTGTTTATTATATATGTTCGGAATCGCAACTTTGAAGTGAATTGGATTAAACATAAATGCCAATCTCTATCTTAAGATTAAAGTGTGAAACGGATTAACATGTAGTTCGCAGACATGCAAAGTTGATTTGACTGGATTTTTTTTTCTTTTTTTTTTCTTACAGATGATGATCAGCATGCTGTATTGGGGGGTAAAAAAACAACCAAGTGTTCGACTTCAAAACATACCTTATCTTCAAAGTGTTCCATATATTGCTGGCTACTGGACATGGTTAGAACAACATCCTACCCACCCTGCCCCGGAACCCCCCATGATAGTACTCTTGGAGGCGGTAAGCTGCTAAACTTGACTATGCGTTAAACTGAAGCTGAGCTCGTTATGTATCGCTTTCCATCTTTAATCTCATATGAGAACCTTAAATGTGATTAAAATATGAATTTAATAATAGAATCTATGTGTCATTAAATTTGTCAGACAATTGTCATTAAATTTGACACAAAAATGTCACCGCCATTATTTAAATAAAAGCCAAAAGTCTAGTCTGGATCAATTTCAAAGATCCTATACCTAGTACGTTTGTACCATAGATGCGAAAGTAGCGATATATCAGCCACTTTGTTTGGCTAATACAATCTTTATTTCTCTTGTTTACTACTATAGGTAAGCACCTTGAGGATTACGTGGCCGGCAATGAGAAACTTAATGCTAGAGCTGGTGCGGGACATTAACTTTTCTGTTAAAAAGCGGCTTGGAAAAAGGGCCAAATCCATCCTGTGTTCAACAGTAAGCATTCTTGAAATCCAATATCAAAATGGTACTTCTTGGTTTGAATGGGGCATAAGCGTTCCTTTGATGCTGAACATGGGAAAAGAAGATTATATCGAGGCAGCATGTAAGTTAAAATTCCACCCATTTGTCGGGATAAATGTTCATTTAAACAAAGATACATGTAAAGATGAAGATAACTACTTGTTTGAAAGACATGCAATACCAACCAATCCTATTCCGACTGTAAAATGTTATTCATACCAATTTCCATATCATGACAATATGAGAAGCCCATCTTATTGTACCGTTGGACCATGTAAACACTGTGTGAATCTCTACCCTCCAAAGAATGATACACTTACTAGCTTTGTTGAATATGACAACCTTCCGTTGGAGTTTCACCCAAAGTGGCCTATCGGAAACTGTGCAGAAAATGCAGCTTTCAGCAAAGTTTTCTATAACATACGGCTTCACTGCATGGTCCAAAGGTGTGATACAATTGATAATATGTTAGGTGAGCTTGGCATAAGACCACGAGCCTTTGTACATTAACCATGTCAAGTGCATATGATACAAAGAGTAGCATCGTCATAATATGCGTTATCTTTAGCTATAAAAACGTTATCTTCTTCCCAAAGCTCACTAAGTAGTATTACTTCATTTCACAACATTGTTATAGAAATACAGATGTACTTCAAATATACTAGTAGCTCATGTTAAATCAAATTTGGGTTATGCAGCCTCAGGTACCAGTGTGTGTGCCATTCAGATCAGATGAAAGTTCCATTGCGCTTTGGTTTATTTGTTTATTATTAATTTCCTCCACTTTTTGCAAAACATGCTCTCTACAGTAGTGGATGTTGATGCATAATGTCGGATTTTTTCTATATTTTATTTGGTCTATATTCATGACATTTGCTGTAGTGTGACCACAAATGCTATTGACTGAACATTTTAAGGAGTTTTAGTTACGTGATTTGTAATAAACATATAAAGAATATTTAGATTGCGTTTGAATATTACCAGGCATCCTGATGCCAAATTGTATGTGTTTGTCATACTGTATGTGATATTGTTTTCTTTTAGTTTGCCAAAATGCACCGAATATCCTTGTAGTCCATCATTGTATCCTACCTGACTTCCTTGTTTGGACAATAAAGACGGGCGGTTTTGACAACCTCGACATAACTGTGCAATTACCACACAATAAAGAAAGGAATAAGCAAGTACCATTTCAGGTTCTGTAATTTAATGGCCGCCTCTCTTATGTGCGATTCCCCAACGCTGGCCCCCAAGCCCCCAAAGGGCTCCGTAACTAGTAAACGGTTGGTGGGCTTTGTTTCCCACCAGCCATTGTGTTGCCAGAGAAAGGTGATACTCTCTAAACACCCCATCTCAGTCCTGATAAGGTGTTGCCAACATAGTTACTTTTCCCTTGTACCATTATCGGGTCGGGTCTTTTAGTCGGGTGACTTGCTTGTTTTAAATTACAATGTAAGACAACCGTTGGAAAGGGTAGACAGATGCCCTGAGAAGAAACGTTACATGTCTAAGCTCAAATTCGTGACTACCATGTAATCATGCAGTAAATTAGAATCTCTTGTCAAGGAAAATTATCTTAAATATTCATACGTGATTATAACTCAGGCTGGCAATTCTAAAATGGTTTATGCTGGCAAATAAAATTGTAACTTTGATTTTAAGACAGATCTGAAAGGAATAAAATTATCTTATAGTCCCTTACGTGGTACGAAGACAGATGTCTACAAAGGACACTGGAATGCATTTCTTATCAGCAAAGGACATTCTTTATTCAAATGAACAACCTCTTAACAAGTACTAGTACACAACAGTCAATTGATAATATCATAAAACCTACACGTATATACAAGAAAAGCATATCCATGACATGGAAAGAATGTAAGTTTTCTCCATTAAATTTGCTTAATTAGATTTTGTGTAAATTTTAAGTACAAGTTGCTAATTTTAGCTATTCCAAGTAATTTTCGTCTGTTCTAAAATGAAAACAAATTCTGTTCACCGGTATTTGAATTTTTATTTTGATCAGATTTACTGACAAAAACATGTTGACATCTACTGACAATCCACGTGAGACGAGCTCATTTTGGGGCAACACCAGAAAATATCAGACAGTAAACGTAATCTTTAACATTCGTAATTTCAGCAATTTAAACACACCAGTACTGTGTATTTTGTTATTTCTCCTTTCTGAATGTCACCCACAATAGTAGTAATGGAGTAGATTTGATTGAAACATTTTTTTCTAAAGGGATGAACAAAAATGGCCTTGATGTATCGTATCAATTTACATATAAAGAAATAAATAGACATTAAGTGACTTTAATGGAAATACTACATACCTACACGTACCTCCTGGCCTGGCTGTAATCATGCAGAATTTACTACATTCTCTAGCCATGGAATTACATTTGACGAATGTTTATCCCTGTAAGATAATAGCCCAATAAAAGCTGGTTACTGACATGCCTTGATGTTCACAGTTCTTTTAATGTCCCCCAGATCTGACTTTCTAACAGATAACTACTTTACGTTTTGTATAATAGAAGAACTTCATTGAACTCTTGTTCTCTAGCCTAAGCACAACTCAAGTTACAACGTATGAATGCTACATGACCTTAATCAACATGGGTTGTTCAATCATGAAATCTCCCAGCGACATCACCATATCAAATGGACCAACGTTCAACCTGAACACATCTCCCTGCATAAAAACTGACTTAAAAATATACACCTCTCTTTAAAACGAACTCTTCCAGCTGTCTCGTATTATGCTATGAACATTTAAAGCACTTTCACCCAAAAAATTAACTTTTAATGATAACCTTACTATAAAGTCAAAGTTTAAAGAAAAGCATGCCCTCCACAAAAAAATGACAAGGGTGGCAAAACAGCTAAAAAGGAAAGTAGCAGTTTAAAGAAGTTTGAGGAATAAAGTTGCCCTCAACTTTAAAAAAAATGACAGGGGTGGCAAACCTTAAAAGGAAAATAGCAAAAACCGACCCTCGTAAGATTTTCAGGCGAATTAAAATATTTGACCATTCGCTCACTAAATTTCAGATTATCATTCAGAGACTAAACTATACAGTTTTCCTAAAAATAACAAACAAATAAAAACCATTTCAAAATGTAAAACATGTCCCGCTCTACATGTATCACTATACAAAATAAGAACTGGCATGTAATTGACAAAAGGGCAGAAAAAGAAACATAAGAAAAACATATGTGACACTTATGCTTGTGGTATGGAGCAACAAAAAGGCTAACTTTTAATTTCAATGCACATCGAGGAGAACTGTGAGGGGAAAGGATCAGTAGATGGAAAACCCTTACAGGGAGATGACCACAAGTCTTCTTGACCATCACCGAACTGTGCAAAAAAGGACTGTGAGTGAAACGGATCTTCTTGCTGATCGGTGAAGTCGAGGAATACTTCAGAAGGCGGCTTGAAGTATTCTGCCATTTCCGCATACATTTGGCTGGCCCTTTCACGGTCGGCTTCCAGCTGGTCAGGATCATGACCTGTGGATAAGAGATTGATGGATCTTTACTACTACGGCAAAGCTGTACAAACACAAAGCTATCTCTCTATCCGTTTCTGAAGTAAATAGTTCTGTGAAACAAAACAGAAGATATATATAACAGAAAATATAGACAATTCAAAATAGCTTCAAAGGTAAATAAAAAACAAATGTTGTTTTGTCATTAGAAGGTGTTTAACAGTGTGTGTGTGTGTGTGTGTGTGTGTGTGTGTGTGTGTGTGTGTGTGTGTGTGTGTGTGTGTGTGTGTGTGTGTGTGTGTGTGTGTGTGTGTATGTGGGCATATATTAATTTCCAAGCAACTTCTATGGTGGCAAAACAGAGTATCAAATTGGCCATGCTATATCCAATCACCGGGGAGGGTACCGGGTCCATACACCACCCAATGTGTATTTAGACACTCTAGGATCTGTATGAAAATTAAGAATATATGTTTGAATGAAAATACCTCTGTCGACCACATCACAGAGTATCATGCAGCCTTACCAATAAAGGTCCATTTGCTGTCTTCAGGAACATCTGCTGTTTTGTCCTGTGATGGAAACAAGCTAACGATAAGTGAACCAAAAACGAAAGTTGTTATTCTGTAAATTCGAAAACAAGCTTTAAATCTGATTATGTTTTTAACAATTAGAACAGCCATCCTTAATACGCAAGGTATTTCACAGACAAAATATTAACTGCTTACAAGTCATTTGTTTTTAGTTTATAAATCATTTCATGACTGGATATGGTCATGACACATTCAATGACAAATTCAAGTTACTTCAACTTACTTTATGCGTCCACTAACGCAGGGGACAAATACAGGACAGAATAATAGTTAAGTGCCTTCTTCGAGGGCATCGGTGGCATGTCAGGAGAAGTCATTTACTAATAGGTCTTAATACAATGCTTTTTACAACGAATATTTTTTTCATAAAAATACGTTGATTTTAAGCCATTTTAATTCCAAAATATTTGTTCCCGCACAAATTTTAGTCCGGCTATACTGATAATTGTACAGAGCAGCAAATTGAGCAAACATATGCCATAAATACTAATAGATAAAAAAAAATGTAAAACAATACTAAAGTCGTAAAATAGTCACATTGATAAGATCAGGCAGATGTTAAAAATACCTCCACAGGTCCAATTCCGCCTGCACTAGCATGTACATTCAGCTTTTTTTCAACCCGTACTCGAATAATCTAGAAAAAATTCTAGTACTTACACATTCTTCAAAAGTTCCAGCAGCACAGGGCAAGCTCCTCACATCGTTTGGTCGTGCTAAGTAGTAGTCGAAAAATGTCGGGTTATATGGACAGCCATGGTTTGCAAAGTCCGAGAGATTGTTCGCCACGTTATAAACTATCTCATCTTCGTCCATGTAAACCTTCCCACTTTGTGACCCTACCATTACTACAGCATCGTCCTCGATGTACCCGATAACTACCAGTTTCTCTGGTGGGTTGACGTATTCAAAGCCACATTCCCACACCCTGAAACGTTCCATGTCACTTGAGCCTCCTTCCCAAGGGGTGAATGTCTCTCCGTTTAAACCATATGGGACGGAGGTACTGTCGTATTCTTCGAAGAAGTCTTTCATCTTCTTGGGGTTTCTGTAGGCCAAACTTACTAACTCCTTCTTGAGTTTGGCCTCCTTACTTTCGATGGGCAGGATATGCTTCGCTAGTTCTGTCTGGTGAAGGATGTGGTCGTTCCACAGGGCAGTCTGTAGGCCAATGTCATACGTTATGGGTGCATTTTCACACATCTGGTGAATCAGCGTATCGAAAACGTCGTCATCCAAAAGACGCCCCAGTTGCAGTTGTCGACCAAATTCCAGAAAAGTTTCCTGGTTACTCATAAAGAATTCGTTGCTAACCGTTTCCGTCAACGTACGCGTTGTACTGTTTCTACTTCGCAAGACAATACGAGCAAGCTTCTTTGTGATAGGATTCGTCAAGATATCCACCTCAAAAGTCGACTTCGTACCTTTAAGCACCCCGACAAACACATTATACGTCGGTGCCCGTGGTAACAGCGCCATTGTCATTTTCCTTAAGTTCGGTGTTAAATTAGGCCACGACACTGAACTGACAATCCTTTCCCGAAAAGTACTTGAGGTTAAACATTTTAAATCCAAAGGTTTTTAAAGTTCTAAAGGCGGTATACCTTTACCGTTCCTACGACTGTGTGGACATGGCAGAAAACGGCTGTCTTCTTTTGGGGTGCAAATATGGCGACCGACAAACAGGTTTTATCCAGTCACCGCCACGTCAGGTGATATATGGCTAGGTCATGTGATGTAGATCGACCGCGTCACCTGTTTCCATGACGCAATAGGAAAGAGTATGCGGCACAAACAAAAAAAAAAACAGAAAACCTCAACCGTATATTGTCAAAACAAAAATGTCAAACTATAAAGAATCAACATATCTTTACATCAAATGTTTTCCTAAATGAATATCTGTTGAATTGTGTGCAAGAATACTTACATGTTACACATGTCAAATATCAATATCTCGCAACCGTTCCCGTAGTTGTTTGTCACCCATTTTGGCCCAACTGCGTCGTCCCTTCTTCAAAGGCAATATGCTTCAACCTATACACTCTTCTCACTCATTTTTTTTTGTTATTATTCAGGACACAAGACACCAATTCTTTCTGGGCCCCAAGGTAGAACCGGATTGCTATACGATGATTTTCGCGCGTCATTTTAAGCGTCTGTCCTGATACTATGTGAAAAGTAACATCAAATCGTCTGATACCCTCACCCTACCTAATACCTGCCCAGAAGAGAACAAGAAATAGCCATGCATTCAAGTACCAGAGTTATCAACCTAGGATTGAGGTGTTCAAGAATTCATTCTTTCCTAGAACTATCGCAGAGTGGAACTCACTGTCACCAAGTACAGTAGGGGCATTGTCAATAGATAGCTTTAAACAATGTCTAGAGCTAGAAGTTCAAGGGTTAGGTGTAACAAGTCGATCGGTGTAATATAGTCAGCTGCCGCCGCGCCGCGTGCCTGCGAAGCTGGTGTGTTACGCGGAAAGGCGGTTATACCGGCTATACAGATACAGATACAGATACCGAGGCAAAGCGGTAAACAAACTGCTAACCTCGGGGAAAGGTGGTTCGACAAAGAACACCGAGCCTGATCTTAGTTGATATTACACCAAACCTGCAAACCTGCGTGTGACCACGATGGTCAAATTTGGGCCCAAATATTCCAACCTTTTAATCGAACCGAATCATGTTCGATATGACGTCATTCGAATCAAATCATGTTCGATATGACGTCAATCGAACCGAACGTTCGTTCGATCCCGGGTCACCCACGGTCATGTACAGTAAACCCGCGGCTTCAAGCCCGTTTTTACACTGCTACCTCCTAACAGTAAAAAATCAAGTTTTTCACAAAAATAAACCAATTTCGGGACAGTACATCTATGCCCTGTTTTATAGTTGATATGTAACATGTAACGAAGCTACTGCCGTCATCGTGTGTGACCTTGACGATCGTAATTGTTGTTTACTGGGATATAAGTTACCCCCTCTACTTACTCACCCTGCCTGACATGCTTGCAAACATGGTATTTAAACCGCAACAAAAACAAATTCAATATACCTCAGAAACGTTTTTAATTGTAGGCAAGACACAAATCTCGATCTGTGTCGGACGGATTTTTCAAAGATGGCGGCATTCTGGAATTATCGGTCTTTGAAGTTGAAAAAGTGCATTTTTTGGCGAATTTTTCGGCCTTAGCAACACTTTAACTTTGAAATAAAGAAAACTGTCCGACTTAAATTTTAATTTTGTTATACTGTTCTCTAAAATGCAAAAATGAGGGATTTTCTGGAAGATTTGGGGTCGGTTTAAATCAGTTGTTTGGTTATTGACGTCGATTGTTCTAGAATAAGCATTCGACGCTTTGAGAGTGATTTCACCCACATTTAGGCATTGTAATAAAAACAACAACATTTGAGGTATATGCAGTGCTGATTTTATCACATTTGGACAATGGAGTCCCCGTGAAAATGTTAATTATTGCTTAACAGAATATTAACCGTTGAGACTTGCTCCACGGAAGCCGCGCGTGGAACCCCGGTAACCTGATAACCCTCCGTAGAATTGGAAACTTTACCCTAGAAATTGACCGCCGTGGACTTTTCTTTTAAAAAAAGGGGGTGAAAGTAGACACTGGAAGCCCACTGAAAGTTTGCTAAGAATCCCTTCACTATATTTTTTTAAACCCTCTGTTTAGAAATTGAAGTAAGTCTATCAAATTTCTCACGCAGTCGAAATAAAAAAAATTGAAAGTCTTAAAATATATGGACAATTCACTCAAAATATTTATTTTACATTTTAACATAAAAGAAAGGATGAAAACTATTGGTTATGGATTTGATTAGAAATGCTTTTATAATATTATTCAAAATTAAAAACAGTTACTAAGGATATACTTATTGTACACATGGTAGAGCATTTTGCTTGTAGTATTCGTCACTCCCAGCACACGATTTCATCTTTCTCTTCGAAACAAAGGGAATGTTACAACACAATTTATATTAAAATAATATCACACATGAAATTTCTTCATAAAATAATTCACCTTCTGAAGACTAGACTAGTGAAATTAATTTGTTGCCGCCACATGTGAAAAAAGACTGCATCATTAATGGAATCAGACGTGTTTTCAGCTAGCACACATTAATGAGTAACTCCCTTGTCTGGGCCCCAGCCTGATACGCAAACCTTTTACACAGGTGTGCTGTGTTTAAACATTCCACGGACATGAATCAACTGTCAGCCCTCAAGTCTTTGTTATGTTAAATGGTCTCCATGGAAACAGGAAAGGTGACTTCACCTTTCATTGAAATTTGTTGACCTTCAACAACCTAATTGTCATGCCTGGATGACTCACAACAAAGGTAGGTTGTAAGACGATGCTTAGCTTTCAGCACACCCTTACCTTTGAAAGGGGTCTCCGAAACCAGAAGAACCCCAACCGACGGCATTTTTGCGCTAAAGAAACACAGAACTTAAATTCTGTCCGGGGATCAGAATCAAAATGAAAAGTAGAATCTGGATTTCATTTATCAAATGATTGCTTTTGAAACTTTCAACATCGTGTGTACGAACTACTCAGAGTGAACTCGTCTCAGGGATTACGACCCTCATTTACTATTCTGTCCATAAGAGCGTTACTACATACAAGAACACAAAAATTCAGGCGTACAGCACAGTGTCACCAAATTAGTATTTTAACACAGGAATGCAGGTGTAACACACAGTGTCACCAATCTAGTATTTTACACAGAAATGCAGGTGTAAAACACAGTGTAACCAAGCTATAATTTTACACAGAAATTCAGGCGTACCACACAGTGCCGCTAATCTAGAATTTTACACAGAAATGCACGTGTAACACACAGTGTCACCAAGCTAGAATTTTACACAGAATGCAGGTGTAACGTACAGTGTCACTAAGCTAGAATTTTACACAGAAATTCAGGTCTAACACACAGTCTCACCAAGCTAGAATTTTACACAGAAATGCAGGCGTACTACACAGTGTCACCAAGATAGAATTTTACACAAAAATGCAGGTGTACAACACAGTGTCACCAAGCTAGAATTTTACACATAAATGCAGGTGTACCACACAGTGTTACCAATTTAGTTTCACACAGAAATTCAGGCGTACAACACACAGTGTCACTAATCTAGGATTTTAAACAGAAATGCAGGTGTAACACACAGTGTCACCAATCAAGAATTTTACACAAAAATGCAGGTGTACCACACAATATCACCAATCTAGAATTTTACACAGAAATGCAGGTGTACCACACAGTGTTACCAATCTAGTTTCACACAGAAATGCAGGCGTACCACACAGTGCCACCAATCTAGTTTTACACAGAGATGCAGGCGTACCACACAGTGTCACCAATCTAGAATTTTACACAGAATGCAGGTGTAACACACAGTGTCACCAATCTAGAATTTTACACAGAAATTCAGGCGTACCACACAGTGTCACTAATCTAGAATTTTAAACAGAAATGCAGGTGTACTACACAGTGTCAGCAATCAAGAAGAATTTTACACAAAAATGCAGGTGTACGACACAGTGTTACCAAGCTGGAATTCTACATCGAAATGCTGGTGTACCACAAAGTGTCACCAAGATACAATTTTACACAGAATTGCAGGTGTACCACACAATATCACCAATCTAGAATTTTACACAGAATGCAGGTGTAACACACAGTGTCACCAATCTAGAATTTTGCAAAGAAATTCAGGCGTACCACACAGTGTCACTAATCTAGAATTTTAAACAGAAATGCAGGTGTAACACACAGTGTCAGCAATCTAGAATTTTACACAAAAATGCAGGTGTACCACACAGTGTCACCAATCAAGAATTTTACACAAAAATGCAGGTGTACGACACAGTGTTACCAGGCATAACACTGAACTTTACACCGAAATGCAGGCGTACCACACAGTGTTACCAATGTAGTTTTACACAGAGATGCAGGTGTACCACACAGTGTTACCAATCTAGTTTCACACAGAAATGCAGGTGTACCACACAGTGCCACCAATCTAGAATTTTACACAGAAATGCAGGCGTACCACACAGTGTCACCAAGCTAGAATTTTACACAGAAATGCAGGCGTACCACACAGTGTCACCAAGCTAGAATATTACATAGAAATGCAGGCGTACCACACAGTGCCACCAATCTAGAATTTTACACAGAAATGCAGGCGTACCACACAGTGTTACCAATTTAGAATTTTACACAGAAATGCAGGCGTACCACACAGTGTCACCAAGCTAGAATATTACATAGAAATGCAGGCGTACCACACAGTGTTACCAATTTAGAATTTTACACAGAAATGCAGGCGTACCACACAGTGTTACCAATTTAGAATTTTACACAGAAATGCAGGCGTACAACACAGTTTCGCCAAGCTAGAATTTCACACCAAAATGAAGATGTACAACACAGTGTCGCCAATTTAGTATTTTACACCAAAATGAAGACGTACAACACAGTTCTCCCAAGCTAGAATTTCACACCAAAATGAAGACGTACAACACAGTGTCGCCAATTTAGTATTTTACACCAAAATGAAGACGTACAACACAGTTCTGCCAAGCTAGAATTTTACACCAAAATAAAGACGTGCAACACAGTGTCGCCAATTTAGTATTTTACACCAAAA